TACGCAAGATACTGAATGTTTGTTGACCTGATATCATCAGCAACAACCTACTGTAGGAGAGGATAAACCAGATTCCAGCTGAGGAAGAAACTAGAAAAAGATGTTGGAAGTGTCTAGGACATACATTGTGGAAATCATTAAACTGCTTTACGAAGCAAGGGCTAACTTGGGATCGTAGAGGGAAGCAGAAAAGTGGAAGACCAAGGAACATACTGAGCCAGGAATTGGAAGCAGACATAAATGGGATGAATAGCGACTGAAAAGGATTGCCCAGGATAGATGGAAAATGTTTGTGAGTGACTTATGCTCCTCCGTGGCGGATAACAGGCATAAGTAAGCGTAGCTCTGAGGTCCAAGGAATGATTGCGTACAATTGCGTGAGTTTACACTATTGACGCACCGTGAAAGTAAATGGAGACTGTGGTCCAGTATAGCTTGTTTTTTATTGGACATCCAACCGATTTGAGTCAGCAATGAGAGATCGTATCAGTTAGTATTATTAGAAGCCTACGTTATATATATAAATGAATCCCCTGAGTAAATTCTTTCGATTCGTCCTTGGCTTTTGTTACCACTTCTAAGAAGTCGGGATTAGCCTAAATGTAATATACTATTCCAAATTAAACGAAGAATTTGTTTCATGATTGATTCACCTTGTGTATTGGAGTCATCACATTGCCACCGAAAGTTGACTTGAATTAAACAAGCATTCAAAAAACCGGTTAACAGTTTGATATGTCCTACGAAGAATGAGTTGACGACCTTGCTATATTACACTGACTGGATCCATAGTATTATTTCCTTAGCCATTAGAGTGCACTAAGTTAAATGGATTAGTATCCGCTGAAATGTGGTGTTTGTATGATCTAATGATTGTTGTGTACTTAATTTCGAATTTTAAATACAATACTTTCTTTTGTGCTCACCTAGTTTTATTTGGCTTAAATCGCACTGTTTCAAGAATTCCTAGTTAATACAATAATTCGAATACTTCTAATTATCATATGGATGTAAATTTTAATATCTATCAACTATATTAGTGTTTGTCATGTAAAAGAAACCAATGCTTATATTTGACAAAGAAAAGTCAACTCAAAGTTATTTGAAATACATTTCTTCAATAAATTGTTCATTAAGATAGACAATTTTTTAAATGAATGTTATACTCTTCAATATGTTTACCTGATTGAAATTGTTTAATCAAAATTATAATAAAATTAGCTCAAGAGAAATGCTTATCGAAAACACTGAACTGTGTTATAAAGTTTACAAAGAACTCATATTTCAGTTGTCTGAAGGTTCTTCTTAGTTATCTTTTCAGACAACATAAAGTCAACGTTTTTATCTCTAACTCAAGTAAAAAATTGGTAAGACTAAATAGAATCTTCACTTATAAATCAACTCAATTGTTGACTTTATTGAGATAATATTTTAATTATTAATAGTTCGATATTGATGTGATAGTATTTGCTCTGTTTTCAATGAATCGAATTCTTCATTCATGTGAGTTGGAATTTTACTTACGACTTGAACCTATCACTTCAAATAGTAACTGAGTATTATCTTCGAGCTATCGAATTACATATTTCGTAATAAATATAAGTTATCTTTAATATCGTATTACTTCCCGGTTACTATCTTTATTTGTATCTCAGATTTTTGTGTGGATAGTTTTCTTTCACCATATAATTTATTGCAATGGCACATCAATTAATGTTAGCTAATAATAGATTTCATTGTACACTTTTCTTCACAAATAATGATATTCAGTTGTGCATAAATCTTATTCAATGAGTGCGTTTTCAGTTAGATAAAATTAAATGTTCCAAATTTTTATGAAATAACCACAAAAATAGTTAACTTCAAATCAGTAAACATTTAATCTCTATTCACACTAGTGTAAGTTATTCATGTTTAACTTTTCTCCAATTTACCCTTCTATTTCTTAACATAATAAATTCTTTTATTTGAAAAATTGTCTAAAAAAATCAAACAGTTTAATGTTACGTTACTCATGACAGCGTTTGAATTAAAGCTTATATCATATTACATTATTGTAAAATGAATCAATTAACTTTTTGGTGGATTTCTGTTCTCTGAGCTGGATAATTTGGTCGTGGAGCTTTCATCGTTATTCTGAGCGACATCACCAGCAGAAACTACAGGTAGAAGTGAAGTGTTCGAATTTCTCCACATATGACTCATAGCTTGTCCTGCAGACCTCAATCTTGATTGGTTGTTGTTGAGCTTTAACCTATCATTGTTTACTTTATTTTGATTGTATCTCCCACTGATTTAGTTTTGGTCATATATATATATATATGGAATGAACACTTTAGATGATGTATTTTAGGATCAAAAGAAATAGTTCTCCAATACTAAAATTATATTTGAGGAATGAAAATTCTTAAAATTAAAAACCAAGCGTTCAGCAATTTTAACTTTTTTAAATGCCTGCCTATCTTTTTATTTATTTAGTTGAACAAATAAATATTGGCATAAGAAGGCGTCTTAATACATATGCGCCACACAATAACAGTGAGATTGTAAAAAGATAGAAAATGTAAAGTGCGTATGATAAAAAGAACAACGAACAGAATTTAGTGAATGAGAGTGAAATAATAATCATAATAGTAATAGCAATAATAATAGGTGAAACGGTTCAATTACCAAAATACAACCAGAATGAGTCCCTTCAGCTAAGGAAGGTCCACTCATCTTTATGAAGTTATAGAATAATTGCTACTGGCTTCCACTCTGAGCAATATCCGATAACGTTTCTAGTCACTCTGTCGCACCATCTCTAGGACCCCAACCAATGAGTCGTGCAGGACCAACAAAAGCCAGTCCTGTGCAGTTTGCTTTCATAGCACGACACCATGCCATATACTGAACACCTCCCTGCCTTTCCAACCCAGCGTCGGCGAATAATCCACAAAGTGCAATTCTCTGGGACGAAACTCGTAGGACATGTTTAAGCCGCCAAAGTCGATGTTTCAAGATGGTGACACCGGCTGAATTGCCATCTTTGTTCCCGAATACGAGACGCCGAACCTCTGCATTACTAACATGGTGTGGCCACTAGATGTCAGCAATCCTTCGGGGACAACGATGATCAAACACAAAGAGTCCTCTAACATCCCCAACTCAGAGAGGTCAGGTTTCACAAGGATAGGACTGCCCTCCCCAACGCGTTGTAGATCTGACCTTTTGCAACCAGACTAACATCACGAAGGCGCCAAAGATGGCCCAGATTGGTGTAAGGCGCTGTGGACTTCACTATACGTGAACTGATCTCATCACTCGGGCCACTACCAGCTATTACGCAGATACACGATCTTCTCGACTACTTTAACTGCTCATTACCAAAATTGAGTACATGTATGGACCTTTGCCAGTCTTGTAAAATTGATTTTCTTACATGTTTTAAAGCCTTTATCAAGAGAATCGCACCAATTGCTTTCGCATGCTAGAGCTATTGAGTCAAACGGAAGAACAGGTAAATTTGTGAGCGAAATAATGTTGAGGCTTATAACTTTTTAGCTAGAACTTGATATTTCTTATTTGAAACTAAGTCACGCATGCAATATTTGAAATCGGTACTTGATGTAGAGTAGTCTCAACCAACAGCTTTGACTTACTCAAAGCACATTAAACCTAGTACAGGGGGGACAGCCAAGAAAATAGAACGCGCTGTTCGAAATATAGAGACAACAGTATGAAGAGGAAAAAGGAATATATTCAAAGGGAAAGAAGTAAATAAGTGACCAATAGTAGTATATAGTAGACGGCGCAGTTCAGCTAACAATACACCAAAGATTTCTTCCAGTTAAAAAACTTTTTATGAAGACCAAGGAAAAGAAAACTGACCAACTCGAATTTTCCCACTCAATATCAATAATTATTACAAAATGTGATATCTACTAGGGTAACATTCGCGATACAACGCCAAGTCACTATGGCTGGCATCTCAAGATGGTGACACCAAGTGAGTTATCGGTACGGTCTGAACACGTTATCAAGCCTAAGTAATCAACATCAAGTTTTCTTCAAATCCGTTTACCTCCTGCATCCATATTTAACTTTGTCATAGATATTCTTTTGAAGATAACGGTCTCATCGTCTAACTTTTCAGGGACTGGCTGCTTATCAGGAAATCTACTTTTTGACTTGAAATATACAGATGAGACAATCCTATTTATTGAATTTTGCTCCATTTTACTTCATAGGTGTAGCCATTAAGGAAAGAGGATATTTATAGGTTACTAGTATCCCATCATGTGTCTTCGAACAATTACTTGTGTATTTTTTGTAAGCGATGTCGAAGTTAGGCATAACATACTAAATAATGTTGAATTGCGTATGTCCAACCACCACTTACCTCGACGAATATTGCCTGGTGTAAGAGTTAATCGGAAGAAAGCTAGGGAAAGCCAAACTAAGATGTGGCACCAGTCTTTAAGGAAACTGGCAACTGGACTGAGCCATGTACACCGGTGTAGACTACCTGATTGGCGTCCGCATGATTATCGTAACCAAAGGTTCAAGATTCTAAGTGACATATCTTAAAGCTACTCGCAGTGACACAATTATGTTCACTCTTTGCATTAATTTAGAACCTGAGTGTCGAAATTCTCGTATACAGTTTCTCTAATACTACTATTGTTACTTCTGCCACTTTAGTGTTTGTCTTGATAATTTAATCTAGCTGTGCTAATTTGGTATGGCAACTTGAGCCAGGGCATGTGTTGGGTTCTACGTTGCAAGCGAATGATTAAAGCTACATTCTTGAATCGAAGCCCTAAGAGCACCCTATTAGGATCTAATACAAGATTAAAGTTATAGAATAAAAGAAGTGTGGAAGATATTCGCACGATCTTCAACTAGAAGCATTACATGTTTTGATACCCACCAAGGTAACCTAAATTTTCACACAAAAACAGATTTCCGCATTATTTCATTAGACTGTGTAATATTCGAAAGAGAACGGTAGACGAAAGTACTCCAATTATAAACTATTTATTAACTAGTATGCTGAGAATAAAAATAAAATGACATGTTTATGGTATACCGATTAATTTGTAGAAAAATGAACGATTAGTAATAAACAGCTCTCAAAATAGTTGGCGCAATTGTTAGAAAACCAAAGAAAGCCAGGCGAACACAAGGGTCATGCCACCAATAGGTGCTATTCTAGAAAATCGATCATCTCCAGTTAGAGCTACATAATAGCATGAACCAGAGAATAGTAGAGTTCCAGTGGCGAAAAGAGTAGCAGACTGTAATAGATTAGTTTAAATTCATTGAAGTCAGTGATTTACCAAAACAGGACGTCTAAATAAAGGCGTGGTTAGCAAAGCCACCGAATGAACCAAATGATAATAAGCCCCAGTTTTGAAAATTTGTCTTTGTTTATCTTGTTCATCTTTGAAACCTAAAAGTTAAAACTTTGGAGTAAGTAAATCTAATCTTTTTACCATGAGCACCATAAGCGCTCGCAATAACAGCCAATGCCCCAGAGAATCCAGCTAGTCGTACCAACATTGAATCCCAACAAAATGACGGTTTAACTTCAATCACAGGACTAGATTGACCAGTTGTACTGCGACCCATGAGGTTTAATATCCCATTAACGTAAGGCAGGTGTACCATCTACAAAAAGTGGTACTAAATATATAGTAGTATTTCATAAAACATTATTATTTACAGGAGAAAACGATCAAAATTATTGAACTGATAGTTTTGAGTTGAATACAAAATATCCGGGTGTATTCGAACATAGGCCCATCAGTATATTCATGAGGTAATTGAAGATGAACAGGATTAAAAATTTTCAGAGAACCACACATGCCATAATAAATTATGGCTTGTCACAAAGTTCTGCCATACACGATATTTGTTCGGCACTTCAAGTCATGGATAGTACAGGACTTCGATAATCATTCCTTTTCTTCCAAACAAAACAACGGATAAATATATAGTCCTTGATTTCAACACAGGCCTTAGGATCGTTTGGCCTTCACAAACTTTTTGTTTCTTGGCTTTGGAAAAAATAGCAAATGACTAAGCTATCCCAACTGTTACTTCTGTAGTTGTTACATAAATACTTAATCATATCTTAAAAACTGAAACTAACATCTGGAATCACTTTGGTAAGACTACTTCTAACCAATACACAGCCAACATCCCGGTTAACCTGACTAATCATCGTCTTTAAAGATTCTAAGTTATGCACCAGAATTTTGCCTTATTCTCGTTTTGCCACAGCTATTCAAAATTTAGCAAAAGTTAAAGTAATTATGTCTTGTTAGGAATTTGGCTAGATAACAGACAACAGAGATGTAGCTGTCTGGGATTTGAATTACTTTTTTGTTACTGACGTCTCGACTACCAGCTTCGGAAAGTTCTTTGATCAGAAATAAAGGTTGGAAACTTGAGGCAGCTGATTGCAAAACTTATCATAAAGTTGTGGATTTGTGAAGAATGTCATCCTGTGTTCATTATTATCATACACTTTTATATCCTCCTAACTCACTTTATAAAATTATAAAATTTACTTTTTCCTTAAAAAATGTGGTAGTAAATGATTTCTGTGTATAATTACCGTATAAGTACTTTACAAATATTCATTTTGACATTGTGACATTCTGATGGAACGAATAATGGTGATCGCAAGTATGCTCCGGCCGTTCAATCTTACTGGGTGAAGTGGCAACGACAACTCAACGAACTGGGACTTTACCAGATTCGTCTCGAAACTGGAGACACTTGGGGTACTGTTGTAACATTTTTACCACAAAATCTTGGCACTTATAAGATGGATCGCTTCCTCACTTATTATAATTAGTAAGTATTTACGACCTTCTTTCTTAAAAATTTCTGGGCCACGTTCTTTTTATTCCAACGGCATGTCTTGTGGTGACCTGATGCTAATGGGTAATTTCATTTTAAGAGAAACTGTGAAAGATTAATGTTGGAGTGACAGCTAAAATTAAGTGACGATTACGAATTTAAAACCAGTTCGAAAGTAAATAAAAACCTTTGACTATCAACCTCAGCTAAGCCTCCAAATTAACCGACGAAACCCTCAAAACCTGGAAAAAGCAGGCCGAACAGTGGATAATAATCCCACCTATTAAGCCATATTTTGGAAAAATTAAACGTCCTAAAACAAAATGACAGACCTTTTTTGCATAAAAATGACTCACTAAGAAAACATTTACACATGAATTATTACTACAATATCTGTAGAACTGAATACTAGTCTCCAGGAATCAATAACGAGGTATCTTCGAAGACGGAGGACAGTAATGTAGCGACTTTGTTTACTTAATCCAAGTTATTTATGGGGATCTATAATAACATTTGCTAGCATCGCTAGCCACGAAAATTAACGGTTAGCGCTAGAAGGTATTTAAATTTCTCTCGAATAGACCATGAACAACACAACCTTAGTGAAATGTTATTATACTACCATTCCACTAGTGTACTAGTGTACTGCATTACTTGTTGAATCCCACTAATTGAGTGCAATTGTCAATACATACATAAATGGAGGTTAAACGACGGCAATCACTAATAATAAAAGCCCACCCAAACTAGTGAGTGAGCTTATAACACTTCATCAGCTTTATTCTGTAGGTAGAAAATCTAGTCGGCTTTGTAAAATTACTAGCTTATCAAATCACCGGTAGGCAATAGTGCAATTAGCGAAGGTTTCGTATACCGTGAGTGAGTATTAATTCATGGAGTAACAATGAATAATAGAAAGAAAACAAACAATAAGCACGAACGCAGTATCTTGCGTTGGATTGTGTTATATTATGTTGCGCATACAATAGAATAGGCGCTTTAATATATTATGCACAATCCTGAAATCAAATAAACAATGAGTACAGTCAAATAGTTGTAGACGGAACAAAAGACCTTTTCGATTAACGAGCCTCCTTATCTAGTAGCAATGGGTCACCGATGCTTCAAGGTAGAAACTTATGTATATTTGGCGATAAAAAGATAAACAATAATAGATTGAAATTATGTACTAAGTCCTTATGGATATGTCACGTTTTCTCGTGAAGCAGACCTGTAAAGTTGCTTAGACTACCTCATCTGACAATGAATTCCTGAATTTAACCAATTGTGAACAGTGAAAGACGTGCCTACAGCCTGTTCTGCTATGTTGTGTTCCAACATTCTGGGTGTTACCCCCAAGATTTTTGTTGGGACTAAGCTTAAGTAAGTATTTAATAAGATACCTAGGGGTGTTTAAAATGTTATGAGTCATTAAAATATCAGCTCTAAGACGTATATACTCTAATGTGTAAATATTCAGTAATTTGAGGCTTTGTTCTTTTTGTTTGAATTAGAGTCCCCGAACAAACTTCGTGCCTCGTGTATTCATATCTTTTTGAGGTGAGTGAGGAAACGCTACTTTCCTATATTGTAAACATGGCCAAAAAAACTGTAAAAGACTTGATGGAAGGTCCTTTCAAACGGGTGAAAAATGATGTGCAGATAAATAAATCTCCAAAACAAATTGGTCATTAAGTTTTCAACATTGACTCTGACCTCATTAGTTTTAATGGACATTCGGTCACGCGTTCATATAAAATCACGAGTGGATACGTCATGCTACATATCCCTTACAACTGTTAGCCAGTCTAGATTAAATGCTCTCCGATAAATCGATAGCCTTCCAAATATACATTCCAACCACATCATTTTTTGACTTTTAATTCGACTGGGTTGGCATAATCCCACTATAAAGATGTTACGTGTAGATACGTTGTCGAACTTCAAATACTTGCTACATCTTCAATGCGCTTTTGCTGTAGATCACCAACGTAGACAATCTATGTCGAAAATGATTGCAGGCCTACTCGAGTTAGACGCGAATGGTGTGACGAACTGGCTAACATCGAAGTCACACCTCATGGTCAGCACCTTACGTGGACTACCCCATTAACATACCAAGGTACCATAGATGATTTGAAGACTGTACAACACAGAGGTGTCTTAATCAACAAAATCACCTCCCGACTCAGATGGCATCCGACAAAATGTTTCGAAGAGATGAGTGGATCTACTTTGCATCCAACCTTCTACCCTATTCAAGTGTTTCACTATAATGGCAATGGGCCTTAACCACATAGTCCCCTAAGTTGAACAGGAGAAAACTGGGATAATACATATTCAACATTTAACGCAGAGAAAAATCCAACGGTGGAGAAGGCGGGAACAATGAACTGAATTAATTCGAATTGATCGAATGCCATGGCTCGGCCTTGCAGGTGTGGCTATCCTCGAATGTTATTATGTACCATTTATTCATAATAAATATATTGTTCTATCTCTGGCCCGAGTGTGTCCTTCATCATATACTGATGACTGTTACCACGCGATGAGTTGGTGGGGATAATAATGTGACTTCCGCGTCAGATCTTATAGATTAGGCAGTTACATCATGGCAAATCTGCAACTTTAGGATTTTATCTTATATTAGAACAGTACTAATATCAAAATCGACCATAATTCTACATTGGTAAGCCTGACTAAAGGAATGCAACCTAATACTATTAGTCGTTATTTCCACTTCAACTTTCTCGATTGGCTTTTATTTATGTAAACCCATTATTCTAATAGTCCTCTGGTAATGCTAACATGTATTATCGTAATATTACACTGATCAGTACTCATAACTTACAGGTTCAATAGATAGTAAAAACTGGACATCTATAATAATTATGAGCTTTGATGGTTCGTTAACAAGCTTTGTTAGCATTCACATGCTTCAGCGAAATAAACTTGTTTAAACATCAAGCTCCAGCAAATATGACCCCTTAATAACGTAAACATGCATTGACTAGACACGTCAACAAGGACTAAATGTTTATCTGGTCCTAACTTTTCATATTGTTTCTTCACTTAACGTCTCAATCTGTTTTAAATTATGGACTATCCTCTAATATCTTTTCTTCCGAACACTACCTGCCTGATTTCCAATTGCTGAGTTCCATGGACAAACAGAGAATACGAATGCTGGAAATTTACGGTGAGTTTGAATTACAAATTTCCTGCAATCTTAGATCTCGTTTAGACTCTCCGTCAGGCAATGCTATGCATTTGGCTTCAATTAATTTTGAACTTATACAAATTCAGTCTACAATGCTGTATAATCCAAGAATTTAATCGACAGTTACTCGTATACAATACAAACTCGAACTACTGTTTACTTTGAATCTTCATTACTTGGATTGGAAAATATTCCGGGCGAGTTCTATATTTACCCTCAACATCATTTGCACGTCGCAACGCAACCTTCATAGAGCGCGCCAACTGTGATACTGGCTAAAACCGTCTACATTCATATCTTATAACATATTGAAGATGGCACAGGTATTCAGTGTTTGACACCGATTTTACCGGTAACACATTCTAATATAACTCGTATCCACCAAGAGAAATCAAAAGACAGAATCGAGGAGATCAGAAGTTGTATTTGACGATTGCCAATATATCGAAATTGTCTGACCTAGTATGTCTAGCGATCGCAGTAGACGTTGAGCACGGCGTTTTTACACGTGATCTGGTGCGGATGCACGACCGAGTGCCCTCAGCTAGGTGAGTCCATTGAAACAGCTGGTCAGCAAAGCTGACATAAGGAGGCGATTCGGAAAAGAGCTGAGAGTATAAGATTATGTGTGATTATAAAATAAAATATAGTGCTAGAAACAGTATTGTGATATACAACTGGCTATCTTCCTTTTATTATCGAAGCTATTAGAGCCCCTTTCGTTTTTTTGTATTTTTTCCCAGGTATTATAGGGTCTTGAGTAGGCTTCGTATATTAGCGAATTGTCTAGTTTGCTTGTAATAGGATTTCTGGGTAAGAAGTGAAACCAATTCAACGTTCGTAACACGATTTAATGAGGTATTTTGCATGATGAATCAGCATTAATACCTTAAGTTCGTGACATCCCACTAAACCATAAGGAGCCGTAATTAAACAAAATGTTCTGCCCTACAGACATGAGTGGATTGGAGTTATCTCCCCACATTCATGTTTGCTGGTCAGTAACGTCATCCTCCCTCCTTTTGTGATGTTAGGCTCTCTTACGTATGTGGTAAGTATGAATACTGCTTTAATCAAAGCCCATAGTTGGAATACACTGTCTCTACTAGGTCCATGTTACAAGCAAATCAGATAGTTGAAAAGTCTTTTATGGGTTAGATGTCCATATAGTATATCACACTGCTATGAAAATAACTAATGGTTTAAAGAAGTAATGACTAATAGCAAATCAAAAGATATGAGAGGGTATAAAATTGTAGAAGAAAAAAAAGATTTAAGGGTAAGACAAATAAAACATTGAGAAACTCACAAAACTTTGTGGCCAAATTTTGAGCTTTGAATGGTCGGCCTTAGTAGATCAGCATCCATAAGATTGAGCTATCTGTCTACTTGCAGTAGAAAAAAAGGCCTGACTTTTAGGAAGAATAATGTACATTTAACCTGTAGAGATTTGGGAACTGAAAGCTAGGGTTAGGAGCATAAGGCCATGATTAATAAACAATGAATAATAGGAAAGGATAAGCCATATATTCTGTGATTTGGTTATATTCATATTAGTAACAGTCGAACTTGTTATAATCTTGTTCTTTCCAGATACTAGGCGGTCCGTAGTAATGTGCCTCATTGGTGGGCGGGAGTTCAAGGAAATGTTGAAGCTCTTTGGAGTCTAGAAATAGGGTTATTAGCTTTTTGAATCTGGTAAACGTATCTGTTATGACGTGAAAAATAATGCTGATTAAAGGGTAGCGAATTATTGATCGGACCAAAGACGCACAAACACGTAGAACGACCTAGGGTTCTGATTGGTCTCGCTTCCCTGTCTAGCCCAGCCAATTGAGTCCAGAACACAAGTTTCAGCCTCGGATATATGAATCATTATATTTCAAACATGCTTTGTTTATATACCAGTCAAGCAGACCACAACGTACCATAAAATAGAAAATAACATTGTACAATAATGGCCAGTAGGAAAATGACACGTTAAATAAATATTGACCAATAAGATGATACCATTTCATGTCCAAGGATAGCATTAACAGGATAATTTTTGGGATATTTTTCTGAATATCCCAACACCTCCCTTTTTTGGAGATCCGGAGTTGATGTCCGGATTTTAAATTTTTTTCCGCGTCTATCCTCCCCCGCGAAATAATGTTGGGTCGTCATAAACCCAAATTATGATTAATTTGATTGTATTTAAAACACATTGCACAGAGAATCCGGTAAAATCGATCAGATATTGAGGATAAACGCCATCCAATTCGAAGTCATCAGGGTTTGAATCTTTAGTAAGTAGTGGATCATTACGATAATCAACGTCCAACAAAACTGTGCCAGGTTCTTGATTATTAGTTGATGCGTGAAACAAATTTTCTGGCAAAACAATGGGATCTTCCCGTGAGCTGGATACGTTGCCGTCTGTACATGCTGTTTCGGGGATAACGGAGTTCGAATCCATTACCGAGCATGTTTCTGAAATGGGAAGTTCTGGACCACTGGGCGCATCATGGATGACTGCCGTTCCGTTTGAAGTACAGTTAATCGGGGATTCATGGAGGCTGCTTTCATTTTCCAGCTCCCTGTGTAATTCAGATATCAATCCATCCACTTCCGTCGCATCTTCATAGCATGAGTGATTTAGCAGCTGCGTGCGGAATTTGACTAATAACTCCAAATGTCGTTCAAAAAGCAGCTGTAATCGATCGGAAGGGAGAGTCATTTTTTTGAATCAGCACCTGTGATGAAAATTACTGTATGACTAATGACCAATGTCGTTGAAGGACACTGACGACAATCTGGATGCTGATTGGTTGGATAATTAGACTGGATTTCGTCCAATTACAGAATGACTTTGGATTGTTTTTTTCACCCCGTCGA